TGTGTGTGTGTGTGTGTGTGTGTGTGTGTGTGTGTGTGTGTGTGTGTGTGTTTGTGTGTGTGTGTGTGTGTGTGTGTGTGTGTGTGTTTACGTCTGCATGCGTATGCGTATACATAAACACACAACATAATATTCACTGAACGGGAGATCAACTTTGGGTCCAAAGGGCTCATTTTTTCCATCAGAAATCCATTCAACGTAGCAAGTATGACTTCTGAACCACATACTGAAGCTGTTTCAGATGGTCTAGATCATATTGATTTAGTTCAAATAAAAAGGTTGTGTATGTGTGTGTGTGTGTGTGTGTGTGTGTGTGTGTGTGTGTGTGTGTGTGTGTGCCCTCTAATGACCATACCTACTCGGGTGTATCATCTCTGTATTATATTATTGTTTTCTCTTAAATTTCAGTTCAGTTCACGTGCTTTGTCTTTGGTTTACTGCAGGCCATCCATTCGTATAATGTGGGGAACTAACTCAAATACTTTCTTGAAATAAGTTTTAAAAAATTTTAATCACACCACAAAACAGTACAGTAACAACCCAAACATATTCGTAATTTGCATCTGATCAAGATAATATCAAGATTATATAAGTTCGAGGTTCGAATCCGAGGAGAGTCCGAATTTTCCCCGTCCTGTTTTAAATGTTTTTAACCATATCCCTGCACCCTGTAGAGGGACCAAGTTGGTTATTCTTCCAAAGTACCGTACCTGGTCTGTATAACAAAAATCTACAACTAAAGTTTAAGCATACCTGCACACAGCTTTCGTAGACTGCCCCATACTCTGCCATGACCATATGATCTTTTACGCCGTTGCAGGACCAAACCACTCTCTGTAAAGTGCGCACCACTGCATGGCACACGTAGTAGCTGCTGATGGTCAGTGCCTCCCAGAGGTTCAGTATAAAGGTCTTGAGCACAGTGACTGCGAAATACCAATAATGAATTAATTTGTTAGTGAGAAGAATGATACGGGTCCCAACTTTGAGCAACCAAATTGTTTACACTATCCGGAGCAACGGCAACTTCCAATAAAATGGTACAATAAAATATGAAATAAAATGAAATAAAATAAAATAAAATTTAACGAAATTAGATATAATAAAACTAAATTAAATTAACTCAAATAAACATTCATCAAATAAAAAAAAAATTTAATACACGCAATGAGGAGACAGTGGGTAATGGGAGATAGATATGTGCTTTATAACGAAACAACATTTACCATTATAATGATAACTACCTAAAGGAGAGACCCTAATAATTAGTCGGATATAAATAGTTCGCTGTCAGTTCAACAGAGGGCATAACTCCACCGCTTCATGTGTGTCACTTGTGTGCCACGACCTCCCCCTCTCTGGTGTTGATGTGGCATTATTTTGTTTGAACATCCTGTCTTTTGTTTTGCTTATTTTGCAATGATCTGTCAGCTGAGGATTAAAATGGGCGAAGAATGGACTCCCACACCGAAGACACGAAAATGTAAGGGCTTCCTCCAAACGTACGTATTTGTGCCTTTAGTTTAAACATTGTAGTTTTGGTAAGAGTTTTACAACACTTGCAACAAAATAAGGTCATATACTCGTAAGTGCCGAAGATTAAGAGGTGTAGTGTCAGTAGAGAGTAACTTACAAAGAAAATAACAAGAGATAAGGACGATATATGTTCGGTGGGAAAGAAGGAGCAAACCACACCAAAGCATACACCAACCACCCGCTATGTGCGTCTGGTAAGGCTATAAATTACACCAAATTATTCTTTAAAAAATACCACGGTACGGTCTTTGTGGCTGATTAAACCGGGCGAGCGTACTCGTGAGAAACTCTTGGGTCTTTTACCAATAGTTTCACCACACTGACTAGATGCGAGTCTGTGTGGAAATTTCCACACACACACACACACACACACACACACACACACAC